CAGGGATTGGGCCCACAACCCAGGCATGTGCCCTGACCAGGAATTGAACTGGCAACCCTTCCGTGCACAGGGCAACACCCATCCAACTGAGCCACACCAGCCAGAACGAGCTATGCTTATTTTTTACATTAAAAGTATAATTCAATATCAAGAGCCATGTTATTTTAAAAAACAAAAGAAACTTAGGAAATTTCTATAGTTTATGAGCAGATGTTAAAGACGTGGAATGGTTGTAAAATGAGGCAAAAATTCTATTACAGTGAAGGTCCACATGCAGCGATGTTGCTGTTTAATTCAGTGAAATGTCATCAGTTAGCTGAAGTATAAGGAAAAACCACACACTGATTTGGATAATTAATGTGCCTAATCTCTTGACTTTGCATCTGAATTTATGTTCATTCTAATGTGATCTACCCAGTTAAGGGAGAGTTAAGCAAAATTGTGTTCTTTATATTCCCACTTTGATAAGTAGTGGTGTTGAATTGTCCTACCATCTCACTTTTGTGTAAGACCAAACTAGTTGATGATTTTTGTTTTAATGTCTAGGTGACCATGCTCTTCTGTGTGTCAGAATCAACAACATAGCAGTAGCTGTTGGAAAAGAAGCTAAACTCCATCTATTCCAAGCCCAGGAATGGCTAAAGCTGCAAGAAAACAGTCATAGTTATAGTTGTAGTGAAAAATTATCCAAAGCTCAGTTGACAAGTGAGTATATCCTTTTTTATTTGATTGTTAAGTATGCTTTTTTCCTCCTTGATGTTAAATGCAGTGTTTGCATACCAAGATGTTTTATGACACAGCACGCATTGCACTGTGATGACACTTTGTCTACTACATTCTAAACTGAAATTTAAGGAAACTGACCTTTTCCTTGATTAAAAGATAGAATGCCTTTTTCCCCCTTTATCATTCAAAATTTTGGAAAATATATCCAAATAATTTATAAGGGCATACTTTTTCGTTCAATTAGACTTCTTACAGGTCAAATAATTCATACCAATATATTTTGACCCAGTGGCAGCGTGGAGTGAATGGTAACATTTGTTGAATACTTATTACATGCTAGCACTGAGCTAAGCACTAAACATGTATTATCTCAGTTAATTGTATAATGTAGCCTAAGTGATGCTGTTTTGCAACATGTTATTGGAACATACGACCTAGTCTTGCAGTGGCACATCATTTGTAAACCTTTAGATTTGCCTATAGAGAGGCACTGCTTTTATTCTAGTTTCCTATATCCTTGAGCTCTTCCATTCTCATCAACACTAACTCATGCATTAGGATGTTAGCCATCCAGAGTGAGTACAGATCTTTTTAATATAGAAATGACGAGCATGTGCCATACTACCCATTTCATTAGGAGTATGAAGCATCCATGAGAAAAAGTTGGAATTATTGCTCTCCCCTTTTCTCCCCTATATTTTCCCTATCATGTTCTGCATATTGATGACTCTCTGAATATTCATTTAGTCAAGTAAAACACTGCCATTTCTAAACATCCAGTCTTCCTAGCTTTAGCAGCTCTCTGGTTTCCTCATAAGGCAGTGATCCAGAATAGGGATAAGAGTAGAAGTCCCCAGTCCTTGCCATCCATTGTGGGGATCTTTTATTTAGATTTGTGAGGTGACATTGACAGTATGCTGAAGAAATCTGAATGACTTAAGGAGAGACACTTACATAAAGTTAGATACCTCAATCCTGAATTTCAGAACTTACCTGAGAAATTCGTGCAAGTGCTCCTTATGTTTCTTTATACGCCAATTTGCTCATCTAAGTGTTCCACATATGTATGCAAAGTTCTTGTCCATCCAAACCTGGGCCTCCTGCAATGTTCTCAGTTTTAGGAACTGGTGCCACCATCCATCTCAGAAACAAGCTGGAAACCAAGGAATCTTCCAACACTCCCCTCTTTGACTTCTAAATATCTCTTGAATTCACCTTATTTTCTTCATCCCTACCTCCACCGTGATATTCCAAGTTGCTGTAATCTCTTGCCTGTGCTTATTGCAGTAGCCTTCTGTCTGGCCACTGCAGCCATGCTGATCCTTCTCTGTAATCAGTCATCTTTCTGAACAGCAGATTTCATCAAGTTGAATTCACTTCCTCACCACACCCTTAAATACTCCAGCGGTTTCCCACTGCTCTTAGGACAAAGACAGGCCTCCTTAACCTGACCAACAATGCCATGGTAGTCTGCTCATTGCTTAGCTGCCCCTCCCCCAACTTAATCTCACAGTACTGCCCCCCTCCTGCCTCATTTTATTAGCTATAGTGCTTGTTTTATTTTAGTGCTGTCCTGGGTCTTTGCACAGGCTTTTCCTCCTCTTGTTCTTCCTTCCCCTTTGGCTCCTCCCTCCTCTAAGTTAATACTTGAGTTTTTATAGCCTCTTATTTCCCCCCACAGCACTTATAGTTACCACTTTGCATCTTATTTATTTGTTATAAAATCAATCAGTAAGAGCACCAGAGCTCTTTTAGTCCATTCATTCATTCATTCATTAACTGAGTACTTCTTTCGTTTCATGTATTATGCTATGCACTAGTGATAAATCATGGACCAAAATACTGTGACAATAGTGGGTGGGGCAGGGATGAATCATATCAATGTAAATGTGAAATTGCAACTGTGGTAAGTATTATGAATGTTAGTTACATAGTACTCTGAGAATGATAATTTAGCATATTCTAGTGCTGAGTTAAGCATTTACTAAGCATCTGTAGGGTGAATTATCATAGAGCTTAGTGCTTGAGGAGTTTTTTGGTTGGTAGGTTGTTTGCTTTGTTTTTGACACCTCAAAGTCTTTTTCTTTCTCCAATAAAAACTTACCAGGTAGTTTAAAGCCTTGAGCTATAGGAAGGATTTGTTTTCCTATATCACATGGTCAATATTGTACTTTGTACACTTTGAAAATCATAATTTTTGTATAAGTCATAATATGCCTTCAGTCACAGAACTTACGTATACAAGGAGACAGTATGGTGCAATGGAAAGACCGATAAACTGAGAATCACTGCTAGTGACTTATAAACTCTTGTTATCTTTGAGCCACACTTTAGTTATCTGTACAATGAAGTTGGACTAATTTTCTCTAAGGTTTCCAAAAGGCCTAAAATGCTGTGATTCTAATTATAATTCTTTAGGATAGAGTTGCATATAAATAGGGCAGTGACTTATAAAACCTCTTGCTGTTGTTTCTTTTTTTATTTTCCCTTTCCTACTTTCTTGAGTGCAAGCATATTCTTTGGAATTATTGGAACAGAAGATCTCAGGAAACAGGAATTTTTGAGGAAGAAGATTGTTGTGTTAAATTTTGGGTCCCGAAATAAATTAAGTACTGGTGAGACATAAATCACTTTCTACTTATTTCATCAATTCTTTTTCCAATAACAAAAGCCAAGTCTTAAGAAAAATCTACGTTCTCTAACTTTTATCTATTGGTTTTCATATTTATAGTAGGTTATTATTTGGGAACTTTGGTGTGCTGAAACAAAAGGCATATCCTTAAATTCATGACAGTGTAGTAGTACCACATTTTAAAATAATTCCTTGTAGAAATAATTCTTATTTTCCTGGCCATTAATGAGACTTTAAGAATTAATAGCCTTTCACCTACTTGGTAATGAGTTCATTAACTATGCCTAATGCCTATGTAAAACCTTACTGCTGCTATGAACTATGAAAAGGCTAGCAGCTTTGAAAAATTCCCTAATGTCAAATGTCGCTTATGAGTATACATTCTCCCACATGAATGTTTGAGAAATTATTTTTCAGTCTTCCTTTGTTCTCTTTCAGTAATGTCATAAAACATCAGCTTTAAAAATAGTAATAAAATATTTTGTAGGCTTTTAAAGCAAGCAAAGAAGACATTTGCAAAGCACTGAAAATAAGTTTCTATGCAAAGCAATTTAACAAGGAGATTAAGAGTAATTTGCTATCAGATTAGAAGAGCTAAATATAATTTTATATATAAAACATATTCAATAATGTCTTTGTACATCATGTGCATATATTTCCTTTTGTACATTTGGCATGTTTAGAAGTCCATTAAAGCTGTTAGTATATTATTATTCAGTGTATTTTTGTTAACAATATTCATTTCCTTTTATAATATGATTGAGCAATTAGCCATATAACATCATCCTCTGCAATTCAAGTTTTGTTGATAATTGAGGTACTAATTACATCAGCATAGAATATGTGTGCTGTGCTGTAGTCTTTTGTCCCAAAAACAATGAATACACAGTTTGTCAAGAGATTTGTTTCTCAGGCTTGCTGAAAAAGGCAACAAGACAAAAAGTTAAGGCAGTAGCACTTTATGAAGCACTCTTGTTTTAATGATGTAAATCTGCATAATTTAAAATGAAACATTAAAAAGTGTATTGGTGAAAATATAATGGTTAATTTTTATATTGTTTTATCTAAGAGAAAAAGTGTAAGTGATAGAACAGCAACATAGCAGAGCCTTTAAGTAATGAGATCTAAATTATGTAATTGTAAGCTGCACATTTCAAAAACCTTATTTTCAAGCCACATATTGATTATATATTGAATTCTTACTAAAGGTTTTCAAATATTTAACAGAAATTTGGGTCTTGGTTACATTTTTCCAGCAGCTGTACAGCTAAAAAAAAAAACGGCATAAATGTCAGCTAAATTTAGATCGCCAAAAAAACAGTGCTATAGTATTGTCGATAAAGTCTTCTTGTCCAGTTTAACTGCTGTTAATGAGATTCCCAGTTGTAAAGTCCAAGTCCTCAAAATTTTAATCCTGACTAGATACATCAGTATCTTGTTTATAAAGACAGCCTTATATAAATAACATTTTTCCAATTTTTTATTAGGAAAATTTTCAATCATACAGAAAAGTTGGAAGTGTGGATTCAGTAATTGTTAATATTTTGTTACATTTGCTTTGTACTTGTATGTGTGATTTTTGTTTTTAATTAAGCTATATGAAGATAAGCTGTGGGTGTCATGAGCAGTTCGACCTACCATATTTCAGCCTGCATTGTATAAGAGTAAGGACAGTCTTCTCCATACCACAACACTGTGTTATACCTAAGATTTCTTAAAGTGAATCATTTCATAATGTCTTCTAAAATATCTTTCATATGCTAATTTCCAACTAGCCCAAAACATGCCTTTTATTTATTAAAAAGTTTTTTCCTTCACTTGAGAAATAGATCGAGATTAGTTGTCATGCTGTGCGGGCAGTCTAGAGTGGGAATCAGGCCCATCATAATCTTAAATTTTAAGAATACTCATCTTTGTACAAAATCAGACTCTTTACATAGGATTCTCATATACTGTCTTATTTGCTCCTCACAAGAATCTGAGCTAGCTAGGGCAGGTATCTTAATTGTACCACCAAAAAACAAATTTAGAGAGGTTAATTTATTTGCTGAGTTATAATGTTGGTAAGAGTTATAATGTTGGTAAGAGCAAGGGCTAAGCCTTGCTCTTTTAACTCTTCTCTTTTTATTGTGCATAATGTGTGAGACACTACTCTCCTGTGACTTTGTGATAGTGTTAGTGAGTGCCTCTTAGGTCAGAATCATAGTTTTAAATCCAGAAGGGATCTTAGATATCATTTAGTGTTTCTCAAATAGGGAGGAACAGGTCTTTTTTGTGAGACTATACCTTGGATTGCATGAGACTTAGCACAGCCCCCTCCAAATATTTTCTCAACTATTGTGACAAAACTGTCCCTACACATTTTCAGATTCCCTAGAAGGAAACAGGATTACCCTGGTTTGAGAACCACTTATAAGTGTAACCACCTTGTTTTAAAGAAAGGGAAAGGAGAATTAACCTTTATTCAGCAACTACTATGTGACAGATACCATGCAAAGTGACTCATATGACTTTGTCCTTACATCAGCTCTTTGCTCTAAGTATCTTCGTTTTACAGCTGAAGAAAGTGAGTGTCATTGCTTATGTAATTTGCCCAGGGTCACAAAGAAGGTAAGCATTGGAGCCAGGACTCAAGTACAGCTTTGTGTGATGCCAGTATTCATGAGTCCCCTTTCTCTTACCACTATATAGACCAAACCCAGTGTAATAACTCTTATATTCTTATAATTTCTATTTTTCTACTTGTAGTACCTTTTTAAGACATGCCAATTAGAAAAAGATTTTGGAAAATCTTTTGAAAGGTATTTGTCAGTCATAATTATTAGATTTTTTTTTCTAAATTGAACACTCCATTTTAAATTTAACTGAAATAAGTAGTTTTCAGAAATGTCACTGTGATCATTACACAGCATTGTAAAATTACTTAATGCTACAGAATTGTACACTTAAAAATTGGTCAGCCCAGCCAGTGTGGTTCAGTGGTTGAGCATCGACCTATGAACCTGGAGGTCATGATTCNGCCAGTGTGGCTCAGTGGTTGAGCATCAACCTATGAACCTGGAGGTCATGATTCGATTCCTGGTTAGGACACATACTCGGGCTGTGGGCGGGATCCCCAGTAGGGGAATGCAGGAGGCAGCCGATCAGTGACTCTTTCATCAATGATGTTTCTCTCTCTCTCTCCCTCTTCCTTCCTCTGAAATCAGTTTTTTAAAAAAGCATATAAAAAAAATTGTTCAAAATGGTAACTTTTGTGTTTTGTATATTTTACCACAGTGCAATATACAAATCATGTATCATAGGAATGTACACTTGGAACCCGTATAATCTTATTAACCAATGTCACCCCAATATATTTAATTAAAAAAATTTTGATCACTAACCCACTTGAAAAATTTGAAAACATTTAAAATGAAATATCAGAGTTTCAGAGAAACCATTCTCTCATTTGTGGTGTTTCGTAGTACTTTTATAGTTATTCCTTTGGTTAAGATACCTTATTTTTCTCTGCTTTATGATATACAGACCATATGCCAGTACTGCAACAGGGTTTGATTTTCTAAGCCTATAAGAATTAAACAAGAGAATTCTAACTTCAGATTGATTGTATGCCTAAAACAATGAATACATATGAGAGTTTTGCTTTGAAAGTGCTGTCTTCTTTCTCTTTAAAGTGACCATGAATCAGACTGAACATAATCTGACAGTGTCCCAGATTCCGTATCCACAAACATGGCACGTGTTTTATGCAGACAAGTATACGTGCAAAGATGATAATGAGAATTCTCAGGTGGAAGATATACCATTTGAAATGATGCTACTAAACCCAGATGCTGAAGGGAATCCACTTGATCATTTTAGTGCTGGAGAATCTGGTAAGAATATACATTTAAATATATGTCCTAAATACAGAAAAAGATTTATTTTCAAATTTTTTTATGTTGTGTTTTTAGGGTATTAAAAACTAAAAACTTATGTGTCTAATAGTAGGGAAATGATTAAATGAATCTTCTTATAGCATTTTAATAGCAATACTACTAAGTTAAAAAAGCAGAACACTAAATTTTATATTGTATGATTTGAAGTATGTTAAAAAATGCAGAAAATAAACAGAAGTACAAGAATATTAACAAATTATTACCATATGTTGAGTGGTAGAAATTTGGATAGTTTTATTTTCTCTTATATATTCTAAATCTTTCAAAAATAATAAACTAGCATTTTTATAAACAGAAAAATATTAATAACTTGAGTAACCTAAATTGGAAACTCCACGATAGAGATTAGGAACTGTGCTACTTTGTATGACTATCCTTTTAATAGGTTGTTTGAGCAGATTTAAGGATTGTCTTTATTGGAGCTTGCAACCATTTTAGGAATGATCAAAGTTTATAATGCTTTCCAAAATTAGGTGTACTCCCATTAAATTTTTCATCAGAATTTTAGGTTGACTATGTACAGCACTACTACAGTGAGATATGTAGCCCAAACAGTAATGAACGACTTCTTGTGATTCATGATAAACATGCCATAAAGTATCCTAACAGATTTGTAAATTAACATGTCAAAATGAAAACTAAGATCTGCAGACTGTTTGTCAAAAAAAAGGATTCATGCGTTCATTACCCATTCGGAAGAGTTGATATTCTTAGAGAAAAATTTAAACCCATTACATCTCATTGGCCGTCAGAGTGGGTGGAGGAAGGACAGAGGTTGAAGCTGCATTATACAAAACTGGTTCAAAATACAAATTGCCACAGAAAAGCAACTCAAGGAGCAAGCGTTATGGACAACAGGTCACAAGTAACTTAATGTATGAAGACATCAACTTTTTTTTTAGTATCTTTTGATCTGAAAAATATATATATAGTGACAAAGTGAGATGCTAAATGTTTTAAAATAGTTAATTCTGAAAGTTTTTTGTGTAAAGGAAATGATATAAGGGTTAGCTACTCAAGTTGGTTTTTAATGCAAATGAACTCAAAGGTTAAATTTCACTTAATGGTAGTTTGGATCTTAGTAGATTGTTATTGGAAGTTAAGTCAGTCCTACTAATGGTAGTTTGAATCATTGTGTTGCCAATGGAAATGGGGTCCTTTCTTGGAGTCGTGAGAAAAGCATTTCTGAGGACCCACCCATGGGAGTTTGAGGTGTTGTGGTAAGATTTACTGGGGTTGAAATGGAAGACAGCCCCCAGGTTCTCGGGGTCTCATCTCCATCAGTCCCACTGTGGAAAAAGTCCAGCCTTGTCTCTGTCAGGCCCAGAACAAAGGCCAGTGTCCAAAAATGTTGTGCCATGCTACAGTTTAGTCCAGTTTAGCCTGTCTTTGTTCTGCCATGCTACAGTTTAGTCCAGTTTAGCCTGTCTTTGTTCTGCTAGCTTAGTCTGTTCCTGGCTACACTTTGGCTGGTGCTGTGCCCAGGCCAGTGCTTGGAGTTCTACAGCTGCTGGCTGCTCGGCTGCTATGGGGAGAGAACGTGGGTGGGAACCATGAGGGAACCCATGGGGCAAACGCATGTTATGAAGCAAGAGAAAGAGAGCTTGTCTTTGTTAGGCTGATTATGCTGCCTGGGCTTACAAAGGACCAGGTGCCCTTTCAAACTAACCCATCACCTTCCCAGTCTTTCCCCGACTTCTGCTAGGTCCTCCCCATGACCAGTTCATTTCCTAGATCTTCCGGGTTGTGTGTTCCTAATCCAATCTGCTCCTTCTCCCAGGTAGGCTCTGCCCTTTGTGGGTGCTATCTAAGTTCTTACTGCACATGCCTCAAAGTGGAGGGACCTCTCGGCTTCTGCTGCACAGGTGCCTAGCTCCCCCAGTGCCGTCTTGGCTTCTACTGGGCTTGTGCCCAGCAGAGGAATTTCTCCTGCTGTTCTGTCTCTCTCTCAGTAATCTGGCTAATAACCAGTAACTATAATTCCTGCCTGCTTCAGGGATTGGGTCCTGAGGCCAGAGGAGGCAGCGGCCCCCTGGGTAGTGTGGGAAGCTTTAGCATCTTAATGAAGCAGGCTTATGGTCTGATTCAGCTCTCTAGTTTATTAGACTTGATGTCTGATTCCCTTTGCTTCCTTCCTTAGTAATATCTAGCTACTTACACCAACAATTGTACATTATTATTACTGGAAGTTAGGTCAATGCTACTATTTCTTCTATGTTTCTAAAAGATGTTCGCATTTATTTTTCATAGTTTGGAAAGGCATTGATGAAACCCGTGTCTACTAACAGCATTGGATAGGTGATCGGACTAAATTGTTTTTAAAGTTCCTTTTAATGACAAGGCTTCATTATTTCATCTGATACTTATTTTTAGGATTGGTCAAGGCTCAGCAGGAAGCAGTGCTCTACTAGAGTCACTATACATGCAAACCCTCCTGCCTCTAGTAGTGACCTGACCACTTCTCAGGCTGGCCCTGCCCCAGCACAGTCCTGGATCTTTCGAGTGTCAGGCAACCTCCAGGTCTTTGACTTGCCCAGGAAAGATTTCAAAGACAAATCAGAATGAGAATAAAGTAAGTTTTATTTAGGTAGAGAAAAAGAAAGAGACCGGGATGCCCATGCCACTGTGAAAAAAGTGAAAAGTATGCATCCAAGTGGAAAAGGGCCAGCTCAAGAGTGAGTTGTGTGGGTGGTCAGTTAGTTCTTGGGATTTTGTTTCCAAAGGGGGGGGGAGGTTGTCTTCGAGCTTTGTGGCACCAAATCCTGACTGCCTTCTGGTTAGGAAGGGCCTTATTGTTGTGACTTCCAGGATCACAGGGATATCCTGCCATTAACTGTTTTCTGTTTGATTATGGCTGGAGTTGGGGACTCTGGTGAGAGGATGTGTGCTCCTATTTCCTCATCCCACTTGTCAGGATTTTTCCCTAACTTCTTTCTATCCTGCCTCATGGTGGAGTCCAGTCCTTCCCCTTACTGCCTTACAAGGAGTAGGCCTTTGGCTCAAGAGGTGGTTTTATTTAGTGTGTGAATCCATTAGATGCTGCTGTGTCCTTATGCGTCTTTTCTTGCCTCCTCATTCGACCTCCCATTTCCTGTCTCTCTGAATTGCCAATTTGACACATGAACATTGCCATAGACCATAAAGTGATTAAACATGTGCCCTGTGCCATTCATGAGCCACTGAATGTCAGTCATACTCACCCTGGCTCTTCCTGAACCTTGCCTATGTTGTCTAGTATTGTTTTCAACATCCTGAATTTTGGTTAGCTTTTTCTTTAAGGTGCACACTAACCATTCTGATTCAGTTCTTAGTCCTAACTTCTTCTGATCAGTATTCTCCTGTGGCTGATTTTGATTAGATGCTTATACTTATGTCTAAAATCTGTTTTTTTAATGCTAGTATGGGGAAAGTTACATTGGTCATCTCATCAATATTTAAATGAGGGACAAAACCTCATTATAGTATTTATTTTCCTTAAGCATGGGATTCTGTGCAAAGCTAATCTGTAGGGATTGGTTATCAGAAAGTACCAGAGTGCTCAGAAGTATTCAGATTTGTTATATGGTTTAATTCTTAAGGATCACATCATTTGACTGACTAAAATGCCTAAAGACCTTAAAATATGATTACTTTTGCATTGCCATAAAATGTGGTTAATTCTACATTGAAGTCTAAATCAGTGGTTCTTAACCCATCACTGTGCATGCATTTGGAGAGTTTTTAAAAAAAAATAGATGTCCATCCCCCAGAGACTCAGATAGATTTAGTTTTGGAGTGGAAGCCAAGCATTTGTAGTTGGTCACAGCTCCAGAGTTGATTTTAATGTGCAGTACCACTGATCGAAAAGTCCATTTCCCACATTGTTTTGGTAATGTGTTGGTGTAGAGACTTAAGAGGAATTTTTCCTACTCTGTAGCATTAGGAATGGAATTTGTTTCCAGGGAATAATTCCCAATTAGTTCATTTTAGAAACTTTTGCTCATTTTTCTCATTTTCTTCCCTAAGTAGGGAAAATTGATTTGCTATGCTTTTTATTGAGCATTGACTGTTAAACCATGTACCTGAGAATGTGAATTAGAATAAACTTGGTGGAAATAACTGCAATTAATGTTACATGTTATTTTGGTTAAATTTTACAATTTATTTTCTTTAAAACCAATTATGTGTTTTATATCTACCAGACTTTGGTTTATCCTATATTTTACAGACTTGGTCTAGATTGAAAAAATAAGTAAAACTAAGGCAAGTTTGCTTGACAAAATACTATAGGAATATCATGCTTTAAGATAGAATAAAATAAAACTGCTTCTTAAAAAAAATTAGAATCCCAGTTAACTATATTTGTGCTCTTGTTAGAAATCAAAAGAAGTACTTAGAATTCTGAGGGTTAAAGCATTATTAACTGAAACAGAGTGGTTTTCAATGGAGTAATATTATAGGCTCTGTCACATCCACCATTTCACTGTTTTTAAGATTCCAGATATGTTCATTCTTTTCTCTTGTTCCTTTTTTCCTCTATTATCCCAACAGATTATGGGTTAGGTATCCCATTTAGTTCTGGTAACCAACATGTTGCTGATAATATGTTGGAATGTTTTTGGCTTAAAGTAACAGAAAACACTAATGCAAATGGTATAGATGATAAGGAAATTAATTATCTTACATAACAAGAATTTCCAAGGGTTTTTCAGGGTGATTTATTCAGCATCTCTCTACCCTGCTCTCCTGTGACTGTCAGCTTGTCTTTAGGCTAGCTCCCTCCTGTTCACAGTTACGGCAGCAGTTCTTGGCATCACATCTAGATACAGTTGGCCCTCTGTATCTGTGAGCTCCGCACCATAAATTCAATGAACCATGGGTTGAAAATATTAAAAAGGCAATCCCAGAAAGTTCCAAAAAGCAAAATTTGAATTTGCCATGTGCCAAGCACTGTGCTGAATCCCCCCCCCACCCCCACCCAAAAGAAGTGATGTGTAGACAGACCCAGTTGTGGCCTCTGGCCATTTTCAGTCACCCTTAGCCTCTCTCCAGCTATTGTTTGAGCGTTGCTCACCTCACACTTTGTTAGTGTGCCATTTTATATAAGGGATTGGGTATCAGTGGATTTTGGTATCCACAGTGGGTCCTAGAACCAATCCCCCTTGGATACTGAGGGATGATTGATGGCAAAATTCAGTAACTTTTTTGAAAGCAAGAAAACCTTTCCCTGAGGCTCCCTCATCACATTTCATTGGCCAGAACTGGGTCATGTGCCGGTGCTATACAACATCATGAGAGAAATGTAAGTGAAGTAGTCAGAAAGAAAATAGGAGTATACCATAGTGTCAAAGTAAAGGGTTAGGCTTACCTCTTATTGGCAAGAGAATTGGAGTTTCTCTGATTGGTTAGACTAATTAGGATATATCTTGAAACATTTGAGGGTGATGGACATGGGGCTCCGAGATGGCAAGCATCTTGGGTAGGCAAGAGTGTTCCAGGTGCTGCCTGTGACCCAGTGACACCCCTTCTCTTACCCTTTTTTCTCCCATCTCTCATTTAGCTGGAGCTGAATGTTTTGAAGCTGTCCTGTAAGTTTTCTTACTACTGAATTTTGCCAGTGCTTCTTCCCATTAAGCTTGCCTTAAAATCTGTATATTTCCTAGTAACATAAGAGTTTGGCACTTGTTTCATGCTCATTTAAGAGTATTTTTCTTCTTTTTTTTGTATAGGTAAAATTTAATACCTAGTATCCATCTGTTTTAAAATTAAATTTTAATTTCAAAGTGGACATAGATTGCTTTCTTGTGAAGGATGGTGATAGAACAAAAGTAAATTGATAGCTGAAGAGAGAAAAAGACTTTTTCTAGAGGCGATTTATTTAAAAGAGTACTGCATGCAGAACCTATTGTTTATCTTTAAAGTGTCTTGTGGACAGGGTCATGGTAAAAATAATTTATGCAAAATTCAATGAACTAAATATAGGACAAATGACCTAGTTCAAGGTATTTAATATATTACCTCAGTGAAATAATTTGTTAGTTATAAATGATAGCTTTTTCTGAAAGATGTACTTAACATTAAATAACCTTAAAACACTTTTTTGCTGGTGACATGTCTTATTTTCAGAAGTTCCTCCCTCTCCTATACTATTCTGATTACTCAGTAAATCATCTGAGGATTTTCTTTTCATGGTGGATTTGTAACCTAATGGAGTCTAAAATCTTTACCTTGTAATGGATATTCTTTAAAGAATTATAAATAAATAAAACTTTAAATAGAATGCCATGTTTAATTCTTTATACTAAGAAGGAAAGATAAAAACCAGGATTTAAAGCACAAGCTAGCAAAAAGAATTTTACTGACATAATATATTCAGCATATTTCCTGTCTTGTTCCATTACTATAACAATCCCAGGTTTATTGTCCCATTATTTTTAAAGCTGGAATACTTTTTCTATGTAAGGAATTTTATAAGAAAACATACCTTTTCTGTTGTTTGATCTTTTCTTCCTAAAGATTAAACATGCCTTTTCACCTGGACTAGAGAGTGGACTATCGACATCTATGTACATAGAGCAGGAGAGACACCCAGTGGTTGAAATACTTCTTATCTCTCTCTCTCTTTTTCCTCCTAACCATGTCAGAACCATAATTGAGACTGAACTGTTTATTGACTCTTTTTTCTACTATTAGTATCTGGATTGCTTTTCTAAAATCATTTTCCATTTAATGGAAATATTCCCTTCTCTGTCTCTTGGTTAGAGTTTACCACATGAGAATCGGAGCAGGTTCAGTATTCACAATTGGAATAGAAGTGATTGCANTAATGGAAATATTCCCTTCTCTGTCTCTTGGTTAGAGTTTACCACATGAGCAGGTTCAGTATTCACAATTGGAATAGAAGTGATTGCCATTTAGACTGTTTATCCACAAAGTCAGTCGAGACAGCTCTGTTCATATCCACTGTCACTGTAGTCTAGTGTTATTTAGATAGAATATAAAAGCTCTAATATTAAAGGCTAGCTTTAGGTGTGACCAAGTAAGTATAAGCTATTAAACTCAAAGTTAGCCTTCTGGTTTATTATAAAAACTTTCTGAAGTTTCTGAAAAGTGAAGACACAGTCAAAATACTCCAGGTAGTGCAGAAAAAGGGTGGGGGGGATTTATCATGAGGATGCAGGAAGACTTTACTGAAAGGCTACTAGTAGAAGCTAGAGGCCACTTAATGACTGTCACCATTTTTAATATGAAATCTGCACATTTACTTTGTTCTTGTCTTTACCAACCAGCTCCCTTTGCTCATTCAAAATTTCAGTGTACTCAGAATTTTTATTTATTATTTATTTATTTATTTATTTATTTATTATTTATATAGGTCTTTATTGATTTCAGAGCAAGGAAGGGAGAGCGAGAGATAGAAACATCAATGATGAGAGAATGGTCATTGATCGGCTGCCTCCTGTGTGCCCTTGACTGAGGATCGAGCCCGCAACCCGGGCACTTGCCCTGACTCAAAATTTTTATTTTATCATGGCCTGGGTTGACTCCTTTGGCCTATCCCAATATCAGCCCCTTTAACTTCAATTTCTGTTGCCTAATCCTTTCCATATTTTGTGGTTTGATTTCCCAAGAGAATATGATTAGCCTAACTTATTTTTGAGAACCAGGTTATGCTGTTTTTGGCCAGTGGCTAGTCTTTGGGTTAGTAGCCATTTAGTCAGGTGTTATAGTTCGAGTTAACTGTGGAGTGGAGTCACATGGTCACCGTAGGATTTCCTCTTTGACAAGAGCTGAAGACAGTTTACTTCAGAAGGGGTCTCTGGTCATGACAGGCATTTTGAAGCTTTGTCCAAATGGAAATTTAAGGTGATGGTAATTCCAGAGCGTGTTTCTTACACTTTAGCTGCAATCATAATCACCTGAAGGGTTTATTAAAACAGATTACTGGGACCTGTGCCCAGAATGTTTGATTCAGTAGATCTGGGGTGAGGCTCAGGAATTTTCATTTCTAACAAATTTTCTAGTAATGCTACTGCTACTGGCCCAGGGATCACACTTTGAGACCCGTTGTCAAGGTATATTTTACTAATGTTGACTGAGTAAATGTTTCTAAGTGTCTTACAAAAGAAGTCCACTTTGGGGGTAAAAAGTATATCTAACAATGCTGAAATCACTGTTTTAATTCACTGTTTTTGAACAAAACTATGATCTTATAGGTAGTCTTTGGGCTTATTCCTTGACCACTATGTTTTTTAATAGGATGACTTTAACCAGTTTAGTTTAATCTGCCTTATAGTTAAAACTGTCCAAAAGTATGAAATTTGTAAATTTCAATGATTTTCTTTTTTTCCCCTCTCTCTCTTATAAAAGTGAATGCTATAACTTCAGTTAAAAAACAAGTTCTAGAAGTATATTTACAGGAAGATTTGAAAGCAACCCAACACTATAACTGGCTTGTTTTACTGAAGCAAACTCCTTTCTTCTCTTCACAGGGTTACATGAGTTCTTTTTCCTCCTAGTCCTAGTGTACTTTGTGATTGCTTGCATTTATGCTCAATCATTGTGGCAGGCTATTAATAAAGGAGGACCCATGCACATGATTTTAAAGGTTCTGACAACTGCATTGCTGTTACAAGCTGGTTCAGCTTTAGCTAATTACATTCATTTCTCCAGGTAACTCACAACCACTAAAACTGTGTTCATCATTACGTCTAATTAATCCTAATTAGTCCACCAAAATTTTGCTTGATTTGATTATAAACAATTTTTTCACATTTGTAATTAACACTGATACTCTCCTCTTCAATTCCTCAGGTACTCCAAAGATGGAGTAGGGGTTCCTTTTATGGGAAGTTTGGCAGAATGTGAGTATCTTTCTGAGCCTTTTTTAAAACATGTAAATTTGCTATCTGCTTCTTGTTTGTTTTTCTTTTTTGTAAATTATTTCTGTCCTAATACAATTTTTCTATTCAGGGTTGGTTAGAATTTAGCATGACTGAAAACAGGGCTATGGCTTTAGTTCTCATATATCCTATTTAGTTTCCTTTAATAATAGGTAACGTGTAGCTCTTCATTGTTTTTAGAGCATATTTATATGCCTTCTTCCATTTTTAGCCTCAATAAAACCTCAGTGAAGTATAGGTTTGCTTATCCCTGTTTTGCAGATAAAGAATCAGAGCTCAGCCTGGCTGGGGTGGCTCAGCGTTCGATCCCCTGTCAGGGCACATGCCCAGGTTGTGGGCTCGATCCCCAATAGGGGGTGTGCAGGAGGCAGCCCATCAGTGACTCTCATCATTAATGTTTTTATCTCTCTTTCCCTCTCCCTTTTTCTCTCTGAAATCAATAAAGTTATGTATGTATATTTTAAAAAGAATCAGCTCAGTGGCATGAGGCATATTTCCAGATGTCAGTCAGCTATTGAGTGGTAGAGCCAAGACGCTGACCCAAGTTTTCTGACCCCAAGCTGAAGGTTTTTTTTCTATCTTTAACCTTTTTTTTTTCTCTTTTTCCTCTACTCTGACCCAGAGCCATAGAGTACTGAGCTCACCTCACAGCTTTTGGTTTTTTGGTTTTTTATTTTTGAGAGGAACTCTTTTGAAGTAATTTTTCAGTTAAACATGATGGGAAAGAGTATTTAGAAGTTTCTATAATCATGACTTTTTAAAGAGAACTTCATACATCAGGTCATATGCCTTTCTCAGTCCTGGAAAACTAGTTATGATTTGCTCTAAAAAAAAAGGCAGATTCTGAGTATGAAACCATTCTAGAATTCACTTTTCCTTTTACTTCCATATTTCTCTTTAAGTCTCATCACTCTTTTATAGGGTATCTTTAATGGTAATCATCTCAGACCCACTTCTCCTGATCTTGCTTCCTATTTTAAGATTCTAAAACTTCTAGAACCTTTCATTTTTCTTGTCAAGAGAATGCGTACTGTTCCCCTCTTGGACATGAACAAGAGTTGCTTCTCTTTTTTTAACATTATCTAGAGCCCTGGTTTCTTCCAGTCTTTTCTCTTAGATGACTCAGAATGTTTAATAGAATCATAGAATATTTTAAAGCTGGATAGATCTTAGAAATAATTTAGCTTACGCATTTTAGATGAAGAAATTGAGACCCAAAGTGACAAAACACATAGAAACCCATCAATGGTAAAGCTATTACAAAACTCAAGAACTTTTGAAAATGTTTGTGTCTGCTGTATACAAAACAGTATATTAGTCTGTCTGGCATCTTCACTGTAAAAAGTAAAAATCTTTTTACTAAAACTGCAGTAAATCAATTTTCATTTTGGTTGTTCTGACAACAAGCTTGGTTAGTTAAATGATTAAAATTTCAAGATTTTTAATCAAATCCCACAGAATGGGATTTTTGTGTGATCTGTGTATTTTAGCTAACTATCTTCAAAGTTATAGTATTATATCAATATGTGCATTACTTAGTATATAAAGAAAGGAACCAAAAATCAGGTGTTTTTTCCCCCAGATATTTGTTTTTGCAAATTAGCAACTTAAGTAGGAATATTTCTATGGCTATAACTTCTTTAAGTAAATGAACATGTATTTGTGAAATGTTTAATAAAAATAATTGGCATTACATTTAAAATTTATGATGAAAGAAAATTGTGCTTGATCTGAAGGGCCATGAGATTTTATAACATTCAAATGTAGTGACAGTTTGTTATCAGAATTCATTATTACAAATATATAAGCATAAATGTAGAGTATCCATTTTTAATTTGAATGGCAGAGTAGGGGGGAAATATGTCAAAATAGATATGAAAAAGTGTACTAATAGTTTTTTGGCTTGTAACTATTAAATATAAGTGTTAAACTATAGCTAGTTTTGTTTGTTTCTCCAAGAATATCTTTATGTAAAAGAAGTAAAAGTTATAGACCTCAAAGTTATGGATGGCAATTTGAAAAAGTTTTATTTTGTTAAATTGTGATCACGTTTATTCTAAAATCCAGATTAAAATACACTGTGATGAGAAAGTGATAATCTTTTTAAAATCAATAAATACTATTTTTCTAAAGTAAATATGCATGGTACTTGAAGTATTTATAGATTGTTATTGTTTTCTTGTAGCACTGAGCTGGATGCAGGAGGTTCTGTTGCATCATTTTTAAAGCAGCAGGCTTCCCCTGCAGTGTTAAGTGATGGCCACCTGGTGGCACATCACACTAATGCATGGAGTATTTCATTTGTCGTTGGGACTCTGACACTAAAGTAAACATAATTGGATGTTACTACAGCTATGCGTTTTATTGTCATTCTATTTCTTATTAATAATTTTAGAAAATATTCTTCACATTGTAGTTCAGCCATCAAAAAAAATTAGCAACTGAGAAATGAAGGCAGCAGTATTCTTTACATGTCAGAAATTATATTTAAAATTTGTTTCTTCTAATAATCGGTGAGATATAAACAGGATTATATACTTAGAGAAGCTAAGAAAAATGGGAAACAAAGAGATTGAAAGTTTTATGTGTTATGGGTATTTATATATATGTATATATGTTAAAATAGGAGTACTGCCATTGTTTTAACCTCATAAATGTTTACAAATTTAATGGCAGAATTTTACTTCTTTAGAATTGTTACAGATGAATAATTCTTATTATTGAGTTTTGTCAGTTCTCTTTGAAAATGCCTATCTTTTTGTGGTTAAAAACTAATTATATTCTCAACTCAAAAGGAATATATTGTTTGTATTATGAAAGCTTGGTTGACTTTGGTTTTCATTTCCTGATTAGTTTTTGACATCGCTTCCCAAATTCAAATGTTATACCTACTTCTGAGTCTATGCATGGGCTGGACAATAGTCAGAATGAAGAAGTCTCAAAGCAGACCTCTTCAGTGGGATTCTACTCCTGCATCCACTGGCATTGCTGTGTTCATTGTCATAACACAGGTGAGTATTGACATCCAGTGTTCTACTTTTCAATAGTCAGAAGTGCAAATTTAATGTCTCTCATTTCAAAATTGAAACCCAGAACCCATAAGTACTTTGTGTCATTTTAAAGTATGAATTTAAAGAGTGATAGATCAGATAACCTTTTAATCATCTTAGTGCCAAATTTAATTGTAGTTTACCTGAATTTGAGCCTCCTATCAGCTTATTCAAGTGCAATATGTTTAATATTAGGTTAGATTCTTATTTTTTACTTAATAGCTTCTTTCATATTTTCTAACACATAGTAAGTACTCAACATTAAAGGAGTGAATCGGTGAATTTGAGATTCATTCATTGGCAAGGATCTTTAGGTCCAGTTCTACTTTTTTGTTTTTTTTAAAAAATATGTCTTTATTGATTTCAGAGAGAGAGTCATTGATTGGCTGCAGCCCGCAACCCGGGCATGTGCCCTGACTGGGAATCAAATCCTGATCTCCTGGATCCTAGGTCGATGCTCATCAANCCCTGACTGGGAATCAAATCCCGATCTCCTGGATCCTAGGTCGATGCTCATCAGCTGTTGAGCCATGCCTGGCTGGGCAGGTCCAGTTCTACTTTATACATGAAATAATTCAAATGAATATCTGAGATCAGTTAAAAAGCAAAATGTAGAATAAAAAAAGAATGGGATCTTGGTTTTGAAAACAATTACAAAAACAAATTTGGTCTTTTAGAAAGGTCCTCTGTGCCTTTTTTTCTGTCTATAGCAATGGTACAGACATTATTCTAGGATCTCCATATGCCTATATGCAATGGATTTATAAAAACCCAGATTGGAATGCTACAAACATAAAAATTTGTACTGAGTTTGTAACCATCATTGGCTGTAGATGAATATGAAATATACAACTGGGCTCTGTAAAGGACGTTATAATCTAAGGGTCTTGGGGGTTTTCTGATTTTTTTAAATCCTAACCCAAGGATATTTTTCCATTGCTTTTCAGAGAGAGTGGAAGGGAGGAAAGGTGGGAAGAGAAAGAGAGGGGAACATCAATGTGAGAGAGAGACATCTATTGGTTGCCTCCTGCATGCTCCCTGACTGGGCTCTGCCCTGACCTGCGCCAAGGATCGAGCCTATAATCGATGTACATGCCCTTGGCTGGAATTAAACCCAGGGCCCTTCAGTCCGAGGGCCAACACTCTAAACACTGAGCCGAACTGGCTGGGGCACTACATGATTGATTTTAGAAAGAGACTATATCACAGATAGTAATATTTAGAAAGGAGATAATGCCGGGAAGGGAGGACTAATGAGAAAGAACTGAATTAGGAGTGACTAAAATAAGGGCAAGATTCTACCAACTTAATTTTTTTCATTCAGGATTTGTGGAGAGTAGTATTAATATCAGGTTAAATTCTCATTTCTCAATTAATAGCTTTTTAAATATTTATTTTTTATTATTTCATTGTAATTTAAATTGATTATCATGGACAAATACACATTAAGAATTGAGATTTTGACACTACCCTAGATTATATGTGAGCATTTGTGAAGAATGCATTAGACATGGCCCTGTTACTCAACAACAACTCAGACAAGGTATGCTTTTTTTTCTCTAAATGTATTGTTTGTTTTGCAGAGTATTTTGCTACTTTGGGAACAGTTCGAAGAGACCAGTCCTCACAGCTACTATTCACACAACAACTTAGCAGGGATCCTCCTAGTCATTTTAAGAATTTGCCTAGCACTGTCATTAGGCTGTGGGCTCTACCAGATCGTCACAGTGGAGAGAAGCACACTGAAAAGGGAGTTCTACACCACGTTTGCCAAAGTATGGGTTTGGTTAAAAAATGGTTTCTTCTGATTACCAGCTTTGTTCTGCCTTTTTAGGAAGTATATAGGCAACCACATGTCAACATTTATTAAACTTTTATTACGTGCCAGGCACTACTGTAAGCCCTTTATGCTCTTCAGCTCATTTAATCTCCACAACCTATGAGATGTGGGTGATAGTATCCTCATTTTACAGAACCCGTAGAACAGTGGTTTCCTTGTAATTTTTGGCAGTTCATTTTTATCTGGTTCATGATTTCTTTACCAATAGAGATTTTACATTTTTCTGTAGTATCAAAATTTTTAAAAAATTTTAAATTCGAAAACAGTTTACATTCCTCAAGGGGAAAAAACAGTTGTTAATTGACTTGCTAGATACTGTTTGTCAGAATTGTGTAGTGTTTAAAACGGACTCTGAGGACCTGTCAGCATAAGCAGACAAAACCAGGAGGCTGAGTACATGTTATGTTTTAGCCATTTCACTGCCTCCATATCAGATGTTCACATTATTCCCCCTTCTCTGTCCTTCGTATGGCAGTGAAATCTAAAAGCAAATTTGATTTTTTTTCTATACCCATTTAATAAAAGATCAGGAGAGAGGTTGGGGCAGTAACACTGCAAGCCTCCCTCCCTAGGTTATGTTTTTCTGTCCTATCGAGAGACTCCGTATTTCTTAATCTTGGCAACTTTAAAAAGCAGCCCATCCCGCTCCACAGGGCCTCAGGAGTCGGAGCAGTGGTGGAAGAACGGCCAAGTTCCTCCTTTATTCCTAGTGTAGAGCATCTTTAAGCTGCTGCTGCAGCCCTAGAAACCCTTTCAGGCTTCTGAGTAACAAATAGTCAAGAAAAGGCCATTTCACTTTCAAATTTTTTATAGGGATAGCAGTGCTTATTGTTTGAAAAGTGGGTATATATTTAAGGTGTTGAGAAACTAAATTTCTTCTTTTGAGTTATGTTTGTTTATTTTTTAACCCTCACCTGAGGATTTTTTTCCATTGCTTTTCAGAGAGTGGAAGAGGGGAGAGAGAAAGAGGGGCGGAGGGAGGGAGGGAGGGAGGGAGGAACATCAATTGGTTGCCTCCTGCACGCACCCCAACCAGGGCCGGGGATTGAGCTTGCAACCGAAGTATGTGCCCTCGGCTGCAGTTGAACCCAGGACACTTCAGTCTGTGGGCCTACACTCTAACCACTGAGCCACACCAGCAAGGGCTTGAGTTATGTTTAAAATAGTATCAAACTTTTTCCTTGAACTTAAAAAAATTATTTTTATGTTATAATTTAACTTTTTGAATGGGTTCAAACATTCAAAAGTATTTAAAGAGTAGCAAAACATGTTTCTTACCTCTCTTTCATTGACTTGGTTATCACCTCCTCCTATAATCACTGCTGTTTTAATTTATCCTTCCAGAGAATTTTTAATAATGCATTCCTATGTATTTCCCTCCATTTTTATATAAATAGTATCATACTAAACACATTTTTCTACATTATTTTTTTCCTTATCTTCAATATACTAAGCATCTCAATAGCTACTATTTTTTAACTTATTACTTTATTTCATATTTAATTTTGGAAAAGAATATGTTTCCCTGGTTTTAGGGAAAATAGAAAAGAGATCTTTGAAAAGTATAATGTTAAAAAGTTTCCCATTCTTACTTGCCCAGTTCCACTCTGTTCTGTACTAACAACCCTCAAACAGGTAACCACTAACACTTTCTTGTGTATTCTTTCAGAATTTCTTTGTGTGTGTGTGTGTGTGTGTGTGTGTGTATACACACACACAAATACGAATGTATGTTCTTATTTTTTTACAGAAATATTACACATCTGTACCTTGGTTTTCTCAATTAATGATTTGTTACTTAATATATTTGCAGTATATAAAAATGTGCAAATGTGAAAGATTTAAGATTTTAGATACTCTAGAAAATACCCATTTGATTAGAAACAAAATATTAATGTCATAGCAACAGCAAATTTATTTCTACATTTTTATTGCAAGTCCTCTAAAGTCCAGTTGAGATCAATCAAGACCTTTTAAATATGCCTCCTGTGTTTTATATTTTACATTCTGAAAATAAAGATGTAGCTGCACTTACTGGACTTATTTTTCATTTGTTTCAGGGCTGTGTCTTGTGGTTTTTGTGCCACCCAGTTCTTGCATTCATATCCTTGATGTTTAATGACTACCAAAGAGATAAGGTGAGTAATATGCGTGGTCAGAACAGTTTGTGGTCATCTTCATGGGGCCTGCTTTTCCTTTCAGAGGCTCCTGAGTTCTTCCAAATGAAACTTTCAAACAAAATATCGAACTGGGGAGCATGTAATTTAGAAGTTTAAATATAAAAGACAAAATTTTAAGTTTAGTTGATAAGCAAAATGATGGAAAATAGCTTTGTTATTCATATTTTAGCCTATTTCATAATGCCATTTGTAAATTAGAGAATTCATAACACATCTTTGTTAAGGAAAAAAATGACAAATGTTTTGCTGTGTAATAGTAAAAATCAAAATAGATCTATAAAAACCAGTCTTGCTGCTTTAACAGGCTGCAGACTGGTGCCACTTTCAGGTATGCCACATTTTCATTGCGTTGACACCTACCTTGTTAGGCGAACAGCCCCATCGTTTCAGTGTGGAGTTCTGCCAGGAGCCCTTCACAAGCGGTGGAGTATGTGCTTGAACTCATAATTGAGCCTGGGGTATTTAGAAAGGGTAAATAGATAGGACGGTAGTCTACAGAGATAGAGAAGTGACTGGAGGATTTTGAAAGGACTTTGAGAGTACTCTTCAAGATTCAGGAGCATGTTTATTCCTATTACTGGATTAGCCAGGAACCTGGCTTTTCTCATTACTTTCTGTAATGCGTGCACCGTAAGGAGAGAATGGCGTAGCAAATTATTCTTTTGTGTCTTATTTTGGTGTCTAAACTGTTAAAGGAATTTTACCTTTGAACAATTACAGTTCTGAACATCAGTCACAGTTTCCTATTGAAAATGTATTCGATAAGGTGTACCCATGGTAAATCTGGAGGATAGTTGTGTATATATACAGGGTGGGGCAAAAGTAGGAGGACACAAAGCACACGGCTTATTCTTATTACTTATCAATTATTGTATTATTTCCCAGGTGAACAACTGTAAACCTACTTTTGCCCTATCCCGTATGTATGTATATAAAGTACATGTAGGTTTGTGGTAAGGTGAATTTCCTTTCTCTGTTCCGTATGCAGTAAAAGCATTCTCTTCCTCTTCTTTCCAGGTCATTACAATAGGTGTTATCCTTTGCCAGTCTGTTTCCATGGTGGTTCTCTACAGACTCTTTCTGTCCCACAGTCTGTACTGGGAGGTGTCTTCACTTTCCTCAGTAACTCTGCCACTGACCATATCCTCTGGACACAAAAGTCGGCCTCACTTCTGATACTTGATTTTCTTTAAAGGAAAAGTGAATTGAACAGAGTGCAATAAGGATCCAAAGACACTGACTCTTTTTTCATACTTTTGGTATGAAAAATTGAACGTAGAAAGCAGAGCATGTTATTTATACAACTGCATTTAAGCAGTACCAAAACTAAAAAAGGTAATAAATGAAATGTTTTGAAAAATACTTAATAAACTTTGAAGAGTGTTGTTATAAGGTGATTTATACAATTTCCATGTGGAAATGAAGATGGAAAAGAATTATATGAAATTTCAGTAAGAGAGTCACCACTTAAAATGCCTCATCTGATGTCGATAGTTAACTCAGGTTTGTTAATCTTATAAAAAGTAATCAGTTGAATGATTACTTGCTTATACATATCTGAACTAAGTCCAGTTACAAAATCAGTGTAGTACACTGATTAAAAACTGCTTTTTTATGCTTTAAGGAAAATGCATTTTATATTGGAGTTTAAACGAATTGAAAATGAATTACTTCAGAAAATAAATATAAAGTATATTCATAGTTAAATGAATAAGCTTTTGTTTATTTGTAGATGGAGTTTTTCTCCCTTCTATCACTTTGGCTCTCATTCAGGTTTTAGCTTAATTAGCAAAAGATTTTTGACAGATAATTTATGAAAAATAAAATCAGATACATTACATGCATTTTAAGGACAAAGAGTTTTAAAGTCTGAGCATTTAGGTGAAGGGACAAGCAGGTCTACATGTTTAAAAAGAAAGAAGGAAAAAGTACTGTGTGATAAGGCACTAAAATTTTAATCCTTATATAATTTATTTCTCTTACATTGAAGCCCCAATCATAATTAAGCCATATACACAGATTAAATTAACAGAAGCATTTCACATAAATGTTGGTTTCAGTCATCAACTAACCATGAATTCCTGCCCAAGGATACTTAATCAGGATTAAATTTTCTATGAATAATTGAAAAACAAAATACTCACTGGATTTGTTATAATCCTCATTGGCAGTGGATTCTAAGTAGTTGCCATCTTGAATCCTTTGTAATAAAGCCATATTTTTTTGTGTATGTGATGCCCCAATATTGAGGATAATAGCTGAAAAATACTCTATCAAGTGCCTGTTTGAAGAATTGCTAAATGGTGGTTAAACCTCCCGTGTAAAGTGAGGGTTCCGTTAATAGTCACTGATTGGAAAGTGTTCTGTTTCTGTTTGTCAAGCGTTTAAGTCTTTTCATTTTTACCTCTGGCTTATTTTTTAAATTTTTTTTAATCTGCTTTCAAAGGCATTACATTTTTAAGCAAGAAATAGTGCGCTTGCCCTGGCCAGGTGGCTCGATTGGTTGGAGCACTGTCCCGTACACACAAATGGTTGCAAGTTCAACCCCCAGTCCATGTTTCTGTCTCATAGCCTCGGGCGAAGATAAAAAATACAAAATAAGAAATGGTGCACTGACCTGGTAATGAAACTTTTTAATTAAATAGTTAAAATAATATAGCGCAACTTAAAAATATCTATGACTGCATTTTTGTTTTTCCCTTTCACCTGGTCTCATTGGAAATGAATAGTATTGTTTCATCTTAAAGGCAAAAATATATGCGTTTGTGACTAGTAAAGTAGCAAAGTGACAAAATTCAGCCTGCTCATGAAGTCACCTCGAATAGTTCTTTCTAAAGTATTTAATAATGAGAACTGCAGGTCGAGACTAGAAAGTCTAGGGTATGTTTTAGGTTTACATGATCTGCTGAGCGGTCATGACCTTTTCTTTTACCACATCTCACTAATAACACCAGTTATTGTCTGTTGTGTTCAACTGAAGCGCAAGTTAATTAAGCTGGAAAAAAGCATAGTGAAGCCTTTTCATAAATTTTGTGGACTTGCAACAATGGAAGGGAATAATCTTTATGTTACCTTACACAAAGAACATAGAAACTGTAACCAGGACATATGAAAAATATTACCGTGCTTGCATTTATGAAACTTCAACAGGTGTTTTTTACTTTATTTTTTAATTTATGGTTGAATTTGCTGATAACTTATTTTGTTATTCAAGAGCCATTGTTAAATGAAGTAAAACAATTGTTCATAATTAATGTATAAAAGTGATAATAAAGTTTAGTAATCAGAACTCAAATTTATAGTTCATAAGACATGGCATAGCATTCCTCTTTTTCTGAATGTTTACATGGAGAAATGTCATTACAGATTACAGAAAGATGAGTGTATACTGCAAACTAATTAAAGATCAAAACTTCTATTTTCTTTCTCTGTCAAATAATACTTTTTTAAAATCTGTTTTTACTTTTTTTTTTTTTTTAAAGAAGATGAACAATCTGTCCAGAGCTCTCTTTTTAAAAGACACATCTTGGGTTTTTTGTTTCTTGTTTTTCTTTAGAAAAGTATAGAAGATGTTTATTTTTATTGATATGTATAATAATATTAACTCCTACTTAATTAAGTATGCACTTCGGCATACTTCAGTATTTGAACCTTGGCTTTCAGCCAGATGGCATTGCTAGCAGGGAGAGATAATACAGGCAGAAGAGCTTGCTTTAGGGAAGTTTTTCATGATTTCAAGTAAAGTAAGCCAAGTCCGATGAAAATAGAAGATATGCATGTCTAAGGCCAATTTGAATATATGAGAGTAGGACCTATATGTTAACATGGACATTGAGCCCTTCCATATGTTTCCCTTAGGAGGCTATGCGTATTCTCTGGAAATTCTTTGAAAATCTGAAATTATTTGTGAAACATTCTCTTTGAGTAACTTAGTGGTGACAAATCTTTGCGGGTTTTTTGTTTGCTTTTTATTTTAAAATATGTTTTTATTGATTTCAGAGAGAGGAAGGGAGAGGGAGAGATAGAAGTATCAATGATGAGAGTCATTGATCAGCTGCCTCCTGCACGCCCCCTACTGGGGATTGAGCCTGCAACCTGGGCATGTGCCCTGACTGGGAATCAAACTGTGACCTCCTGGTTCATGGGTCGATGCTCAACCACTGAGGCACACCGGCTGGGTTTTTGAGAATTGATGTGACAGCCAGTCAGTTTGAAACCAGATCTGAAGAGGTAATACCACTTTTTGTTTCAACGTGAATTCATGAATTGAAACTAAATTAACAAGACTGGTTTTTCTGTGAGAGATGAAAACTAGTGTAGAGCACACTGGCCTGAACTCTTCAGTAGTTCTCTAGGTAACATTGCTGCTTCGCACTTGGACATCCGCTCCTGCACAACTGGAAGTGCATCGTGTGGCCTGTGCTGTAGGACTCATTGACGTAGAATGCCAGGAGGCTCGGAGTCGTGGAAAAAGTGGCCTTGCTCAAAGCCCATTCTCTGCAAAGCAAAGCTGGATGATAGAATTCTTTGTGCTAACGTGCCTTTTTTTTAAGTTACTGTATCCCTATTAGAAATTATACTTGCTTCTCATTGCACTCACAAAAAAGTGATCCGTGCCCGTTACCATGTTCTACAAGGCCCCATGTGATCTGGTCCCTGCCTCTATCTCTGATCTCATTTTGTACCATTCTCCCTCCCACCATGCCCCAGCCTCATCATTAAGAATAACCTAATTTATATCACTGCCTCTGAGCCTTTGCACTTACCATTTTTTTCTGCCTGAAATATTCTCTTCCAAATCTTGGCATGGTTGCATGGCTGACTTCTCCCCATTCTTCAGGTTCTCAGCTCAAATATCTTTAGGGACCTCTGACCATCTGCAGTGGATTTATTTGGTGCAAATTTAGATAAGCTGGAGCTATGTTCCTCAGAATTCTCCCTGCATAATTCCTGCTGCTCACCCATGTTGCTTATCTGATAACTGGTTCATCTTCTTGGCCTATGGGCCAACAGCCAGGCCCACAGGAATGCCAGCTGCTGCTGGATTGCCTCCTTCAGCTATTCTGACTCCTGGGCCAGGTATATGTTTTACTAAGTGACAAAGGGTGCCAGGTTCTACGGGACAACCCTGTTGTTGAAGTTGGAGGTTTGGAGACAGAGACTGGCACGAGTTCCACTCAGTCCCCATGGATTCTGCTCCTGGCAGTTCCCAGTGTGCCCTTGCTCTCCCCCCCCCCTTCACACCATCCTTTCCCACCCACCAGACACAAAAGGAACAGCCCCCTGTAATCCCTATCATAAATCCCTTCTTTTACATATTAAGATGGTGTGTATGTGTGTATGTTATATCCTAGAAGTTCTCCTTTTCTATCACCCTCACTGAGAAAGCCATCCTACCTAACGCCGCTCTCCCATCCTAATTGCACAATTCCATTATGCTGTTTTCTCTGTATAGTACTTACTGCTTTATCTCCTGCCAATTAGAATATAAATCCTAAGGGACTTTGGCCATTGTCTGTATTGTTCATTGCTGTATCCCTAGCACATAGAATATTCCCTGGCATATACTAGATGCTCAAAAATATTTTTGAATGAATGAAAAAGTTCCAGACATGTACTTAGCAATATAGAATTATTAAATAATAGAACCTCCCATTGTGACTTCAGTAATATCTTGCCTGGTTTTTATTCAATTATATGGATCTGAGAATATGTAAAAATCTTGAGTAGTCAAGTAGTTGTTATAAAGTCTAACCTGTAAAATCATCAATCACAAGAGGATTCCTTAAGCTGTCGAGGCATTTTCCCTCTATTTTATATAGTTTTGTATTAGTGTCTTGTTTCTTAGCCCATTACAACTAAAAGCACCAGTTTAAAAGAAGTTAGCATCAGAGGAAGAATAGTTGACAGAAAAAGCAGCTGGGAGAAGATAGGCTGAAAATGGCACTGATATATTTACATAATAGAATACTACATGGCTATAAAAAAGGAGCTCTTACCCTTTGCAACAGCAGTGATGGACAAATATCACATGATCTCACTTTATGTGGAACCTAACAAAATAAACTGATGAACAAAATAGGTCCAGAGGCATGGTGGCATGGAACAGAATGAGAGATCTAAGAGGGAAGGAGGGTGGGGTAGAGGGGCCTGGAAGAGATTAACCAAACAATATATATGCATAACCCATGGACACAATAGTGTGGGGAAGGCCTGGGGTAGGGTGAAAGGGGGAAGAAATGGGGGACATCTGTAATATTGTCAACAATAATACATAAATAAAAAGGACACTCAAATCACAGCAGCCTGGGGTCATTTAGTGTGGATGAAAAGAGCCCTATGGGCCTTAATAGACACTGGAGTTTTGTTGTTTAATATAATTCATGACAATGACCTTAGTACTCAAAAAATTAAATTATAAATTATATTCAGTATCCCTGGAGAAATGTGCAAATACATTGTAATGTTTCAGTCTTGTTAAACAGGTAATAATATGCACATTGTAAAAAAATCAGGAGGTTGAAAAGTTTAAAAAGTTACGTCTTTCTCCCAGCCACTCTTTTCTCTGTATCCAACCTTTAGTACCAGTTTCTTGTTTATTTTTCTAGAGATGGCCCCATGGATATGTGATAGGCAGTAAGGCAGATAAAAGCAGAGCAGGGACGGTGGGCCAGGTATAGAAGGTCATCTGTGCAGAAAGCCCCAGGTGCCTAGCTACAGGCAATTGTAGGATGGGACCTGGCCCCCAGGGTGGCCTTTCCTGCCCTAGCATATCTCCGGTCCTGCGTTTTGGATCTTCCCTAGAGATAACATTTAGGCCTCAGTTGTATTTCAGCTTCAGGCCCAGAAGAGCAACCAAACCAGCCCCAACTGAGCTGACCTCAGGATCAGCTGCATTGATCAATCTGTAGACACCACAACCCTGGAAGGACACACCTGGAAAGCTGCTGAGTATTATAATGAGATCTTTTCCTGGGACCTCTGCCTAAGACCTCCTCCCTTCAAACCTTCAGGACTGAGGACCCAGAGTCCTCCTGGGGGGGGG